ATGAAGCTAATTTCTGCCCTTTTTAACTTGACAGCTCTTCAGTCAGATCGATTGAGATGGCCATGGAGGAATGCTCTTTCTTTCCGAAGATCTCGATTATTGGCAACCAAGATTCTGAAAAATCAAGCAAATAAAAGTCAGATTTTTTTACATCCAAAGAGAACACAAACAGAGAGCTTAGGTCGTGTGGGGGATAGGGACGGACACAGGAATCTTCCTTTACACGTTCGTAGAACTGTGACTCCCAGTCATCACCTCCGTCAGGTACTGTCTGAATTAGGACTTTCAATAGCCCAATACGCCCATACGCAAATTCGAAAAAGACACATGCAAAAATGGAAACGAGCCAACGTTCTTCAAAAGAATTCAGAGTTTGAATGTTCACTAACTCACCATAGGAAAACCAAGGGATCGCGAATCTAGTTTGTCGACCAAACCGTCAGAAGAGTGGGTCTTTTCACATTTCTTAACAGAGGATAGTAGTCATAAAACGGGTCTCATCCAGTAAGGGGGGGGGCATTGTGATGCAACGTCAAGTGGCTGCCCTCACCCCCCACCCCCTAGACTGCCTTCACTCCCCCTGGCTCACGGGGTCCCGTACTTCGAGAAACCTGTGCGCCAGGGGGAGTGTAGGCAGTCTAGGGGGGTGGGGGTGAGGGCAGCCACTTGATGCCCCCCTTACTGGATGAGACCCCATTTAAAACTAACATAACATACATAACAACATAAACAGATAGGAAGAAGTAGGTGTTTGCTCAGAAAACTCTTCCAGGATCAAATTTTCGATATCCTCGGAAATGTTGTTTCTGGAAAGTATCGACAAAGGAAGTATACTTCAGCAAGTTCACGGCTCTACTTCCGAGATAACAGAGATTGGATTCACTTGCTGAGCACAATTTTTTATCTGAAGGCATTTTGTTTTGACATCTTCTCTAATATTCGCATAATCCCCGACCATGTTTGGCGCCAGCGGTCTTCAATGTCATTGCAGTCGAGAGGAATTCTTCATTAGTTTAAAATAAGGTAGAGATTAAAAAATAAGGCACACCTGACTAGGACCTTTGTGGCGGTTTCTGTGTAGTACAAGGAATCAAGTGAAATTGAAAGCTGTCACCATTTTCACAAATTCGAATGCATTCCCTATGATTGCTACAGTGATCAAAAGAAATGGAGAGTCATACTAAAAAAGGACGACTGAACGCATCGACTGCGTTAAACCGATGAAAAGTGATTTGAGAACGGCGGAGAAATTCTGTCCAGAAAGATGCGCTTTAGGAAGTGATTGGTGGGGCCCACAGCGAGCCTACCTCAAAGGATCTGAATCGCCTGAGAGGAAGCTAGCAATCGAAAGGTGCGAAATGGTATATTATAATACTATCAAATATAATTACAATAAAGTTCAGCCGGCCCATGGTCACAATCCTTTTCATCCCACAACCGCTGCTCATTATTCCGTGGCTTCAATTGACGTAACCGTTCCTTCAGCATTTTCCTTAGCTGCTGATGCTGAATAAAATTGCTGGGCTTATATGAACTACTATCTTGGTGTGTCAGTTCACATGTATAACTCCCTTTCAAAAACGAGAAGAGCGTCGGGTGCAGACCATACACCACAAGTGACGACGGCCTTCACAAAATGTAAATGTTTTCTGCCAATGAAATGATTAGCCTGTTGCAGTTGTATTCTATCAGTTGTCACTAATTACAACTATCATTTACCAAAAATCAGCTATCACTATGAACCACTACTAACGATTTGGAGGGCGTCGTCACTTTGGGTGTTCGGTCTGCACCCGACGATCTTCTTGTTTTTGAAAGGGAGGGTACGTATGCATATGTTTTTTTTTTCGCTAACAAAATGAAGGCAGCTAATGGGATAGAGCAAACCATAAACAGTGCCACAAGCCTTGCTAGGGATGGCCGGTTCAATATCTGAATAGCACGATGTGTGATACACGACTCCCAAACGGCACACAATAGATCACTGCCCTCATCCATTCCATCATGGTGACGTGTATCTGCAATGGAAGGAAACAGGAGCAGGAAGCAGAGAGGAGAACGAATTGCTAATTAAATCAAAGGCAAGCCCTGGGATAAAATTGGTGATAAGAGAGACATTTTTAAGACATTTCTTGTGTATCCTCAATCATTATATATTTACTCCATTGATAAAAAATCGAAACTGGAGATTTTGTGGTGGCAAGGCTTCCCCTGAATTATGCTGCGTTGTGGTCGAAATCTAAGATTCGATTCCGCGTTACCTAGACAATTAAACGTGGAGAGCGTACTTAGCCATAGAACTCAGATTCTATGATTCGTTTCCTTCCCTTCCGAGAGTCACACACTGCGTCCAGGATGCCCGCATTGAACATGTTTGATTAATAATAGGTATTTGAACTAACTCTTTGACATATTATTGTCAAAGCGAATATTATGAAGGTCCTTTGGTAATCTTTGTAGCAAAAACATTTGATGAGTACTCGCAGTGTATGTTTTGGAACACAACAAAAATACAATATTTTGCAAAATCACCTTCGATAGTAAACACCAGTCGTACATTGGTGCAAAAACCCAGAAGAGATGAGCGTCGACCTGCTTCCACGAAAGAACACAGTTTTCAGTTCTGAATATCCCAATAAAAAAACTCAATCCTTGGAAAGCGGAAAGGAACAAAAGAGTAAATATCAAGTTTGTATTTATATACAGGGGGGGGGGCAATAAAAAAAAGACATTTTGTCTCCACTTCCAGATGGATTTAAGCACACTTTGCTCAATTCAGACCGAATGGTCCCAACTTATTATTGAAAGAGCACATTTCCATTCTATAAGAAAATCTTCATGGTGGCCACCCACGTGGACGGCATCAGAAGAATTTGCCCTGGAAACATGGTGCACTGGTCGAGCTCAATGGGGTCTTCGAAGGATCGTGTACCATAACGACCTTTACTGGAAAGCTCGTTTCGAGGGGATTTGTATAGTGGGAGCTAACGCCTCTAGAAAAGTATCCAACATTAAATCGATTCACGAAATGAGGAACTCCCGTCAACGACAGCAATCTCTGCGAAGAAAAAAGGGCCGAAGTCCGACATAGGCAAAATGTCTTTTTTTTGCCCCCCCCCTGTATATTTGCCATTATTTCGATTATTCGGAAGACTTTCCAAATTTTATGATTATCTGCTATCAACTAAAGCTATTTTACTCGTAATTTCTACTTCACATCTCATTGTGGTACAGTTCTATGGGTGTGGTTCGCTAGAGAGCAGGTTCACGATTCGCAGCGCGAGAAGCCACCTTCTGTTCTAGCGAACCACTCCACGGTTTTATTGTCGCGTTACTCACCTTATCCGTGCAGCAGTGAAACAATTAGGAAATTTTGTATAACAATAACGGTACTTGAGATGGACCTTCTAAAGCTGACAGGTGGAATGTTTGAGGCCAAAATTTTCGGCCGAATCGTTGCATTCGCCCGGTATTCCACCGTTTGAAAGGAATAATCCGTAATCACACATCGGCGCTATCAATAGCAATATTCTTTACTATTGGGGCCAAAGTGTGGTAGCGAATTGTTCCGAAAATGGCGATTTGGTCGATATGGTAGACCCTAACAGTAAACTCTCCAACTATCGACCAAAAGTGTGAAAGACGTTATAAACTATATAAGTATGTCAAAGTTGCAAATGAGAGAGAGATCTCATAACAAGGTTCTGGAAGCACTACAGCATCATCATTCTTGAATCGCATGGTGATCAGTGAAAAGAGTTAGGAGTCTTGTTTGGTTTAATCAATGTCACTCTTTAGAGTTTTACGGAACAAGAATTGATAGGTGGTGACGATGATGTAGAGTTGTCGGAAAGCACTCTTATCCAAATTGATGAGGAAGTGCTTCTGAACGATTCACCGCACTGATGCCATTCAACGGGTGCTGTACTGTGTATGGTCAAACATTGAAATATTATCTGTCTCACTTTCTTGTTTCACATTTGTGTTCAGAGTTCTTTCTCATTGTTTTTTTTTTCTTCATTTTATCATACAAGCATGGCTAGAACGCTGATGCTTCCGTTCTCGGGTATATTGTGAAGTTTCCACGTTGTTGTCGCTTTATAGACAAGATTTATGCACAGTAATTACATTTGCAAATAAATATATACTATACTGTATCTTAGCAACTACCTAGGTTTAACGCTCGTTTTTTGATGCGCACATCAGACAGAGTATGCGAGGGGATCCTGTTGAAGATTGCGGCGAAGACTCCCTCAGCTGATTTCTAGGCGTTCGGAAGCTCCGAATTTACGGTCGCGTCAGAGTGCACATAGTATATCTATTAGATTCGCCTATACAGCATGATAGGAAAGATTCAAAGACGATGGGAATAAAAATTACCGCAGAAGCGCGGGACTCTTACACGAGTTTCCTAGAAATTGATGAACAATCAATGTAGCGACATGAGCGACCGAATTGCATGCAATAAGAAGCGGGGGTCGTCACTCATTAAGGGTTTGTCATAGAACATGATAAACGCTGCTTTAACAAGTAAACACAAAGTAGAAAGTAAAGTCACACGACACATAATACGAGATAGCTATAACAAATCATGTTAAAAAATTAAGCAATGAAGCGGCCAGAGAGGCTGACACGAAATTAATACCAGAAAGTAAGTGTCACGTTCAAAAAGAAACGGTTACAAACCTATAATCAGAGACGTAACTTTGATCATCTAGGAGCGAGTAGTTAAAACGGTCTGTATGTAAAAATGGTCGATAGCGGCGAAACTGAACGATCTGAGCCATGTAATCACAAAAGAGCCAATTCAACTGCATCAAACAGGTCCTGAAACAATACAATTCTACGGCTTCAATCCGTGCATTGCGCATTTTTAACAGCTATTACCCTTCAACATCGTAAAAGCTGGTAAAATTAGCCAAATAGTCCCAACTGAATACTAATCAGCAAAAAGCGCTTACCTCACTTCTTTCCTGATGGGCTTGTGCCACCCACGCTACCGCTCGATAGCTTTTTTCCACTAGCCGGCGACTTTTCACCCTCTTTTGTTGTAGAGGAACTCGAGCTAGGTCTCGGCTGCAAATATTCTACGCATAAGTTCAAAAATACATAACAAAATCAATGAACTCAGCCATTTTTAAGCTTATTAACTCATGAAATTCAGAATAAATTCAAAAATAAAAAAAATCACGAAGTTTTGATCAAGGACAACTTGATATAGTAACCGCGTGTAATGAAACTAGGTTGTCCAGATTCAGATTCTCATTTTCAACCACTTTTTGCCTTTTGAGGCTAGATCAGTGAAGCCAGCCCATCCCAAAAAGGACTACCTTGTATCTATGCTCTCTCGCCCCGCACCCCCTCCCCCTACTTTTCATCTTTCCTCAGTACCCGCTGTCCTTTAGGCCGATGTCAGACTTTGCGAATCGCGCGATTCGCTAGCGTCCGCGGTCGCGTTGCGGTACCAGCCAGTGATTCACTGGCCGCGAATCGCGCGATTGCAAAGTCCCCAGTGTTCCCTGTGCAACCTCGCACCTCTATTTTTCTTTTTAAGCGAATAGCCGTACTTTTGATTTTCGATCTCTCGAATTTTGGTATATGACCCCAAGTTTCAACCACTCTAAATGACAGATAAAGCAAGATTTTCGATATTTGAGTATTTCCCCCTCCCCCTCCCCCCGGGGGACCGTACTTTACCTCCACAAAGAGGACAGTATCTTGTGATGGAACAAGCACAACGCTTGGCAATTCGTAAAGTTAGTCGGCCCTCACCGGCCTTTGCGTCAATGATACACCTTTGTTTATATTATGTAGTATAGCGCTTCCTTTTGCATATTCAGTTAGCGGTATCGAACATGGATAACTCGTTTTTTATTAATGATATTCAAAACAATTTGAGCAGACTCAAAATTGTCAGACGTACCTGAATGAACTGAGTGAGCGGTGTGTTTGGGAATATACGAGGGGGATTATTGGCGTCAGGAGGGTTTAGTTCAAGCTGCTCCAATCTTTTCCACAAATCCTCTCGGTCCTTCTCCCGCTTTCGCTCCCTGTATAATACATTCTTAGTATTATCGGAGATAAAAAAAATAAAACAGAACAGTCAAAAGAAGATTCTCCGATGAAAAATGTCATTCATGCTAGAAAATTGGCATCCTTGAGCACATGTAAGCAACTTCAATGCTTGTCAAAACAATTACGGGGGCTGAATTAGCCCCAACCAGGTTTTTTGCGCCATGCTCGGCGAACCGTCGAGAAACAGAGATACAAAATGCCAACTATGTGGTAAGCTTTGATCAAACCGCGTAACATTCAACAGAATGTATGGAATCAAGTGTAGTATTTTTAGTCCTGGTGAATTGATCTGTGTACGCCTTTAATTCTAACACGTCTTATAACTATGGGGCAGTGAGCAGGTACAATGAAAACAAGGCTAAAATATTCCCCAGTCCCCAGAGATTCATAACTTCACAACAAGGACCATTCCCAAAATGAAACAGCAAATAAGCCTGAACAGATCCTTCAGCAAGAGAATTGGTGCACAAGGTAGTTAAAAGATAGGCATCAAGTAACTGTAGTACTCTGACACCACAGTAGAGAGCTTAGCAAAAAGGCCAGATGTGTAAAGGGAGATAGAAGGTAAAGCAACGTGAGGGAAGCAGGGCTCACTTTTCGCGTTTTTAAAACATGGCCATCAATTAGAAAATGCCTTTTATGATTACGGACTGGACCGCGGCAAAGAAGTTTGGGTTTGGGCAAAATGGGTACTATGAAAACTTTAGTACTGTCAGTGCTTGCTCAAGCTTTGAACTAATGCAACAAGAAAGCCGAGGCATGTGAATCACCCTTCCAAGTCCTTGGATTCCATAAATCCTAGATAGTGGTACATTGGGATGAACTAAAATGACATCAAGACTAAATTCTAATACTCGGACCAATTGTTGCTGTTTTAGCCAACATCTTGAAGATAGAAAATGTTCAATACAATTCACCCCACAACTCAAAGAAAGAGAAAAATTCTGGCCAATTGTCAGCAGCTATGGAATGGCATTTTTCCAGTTCCAACATTATGCAGCCCTTGCATTACACAGTACCGATAAATATCATAGAGAACAACCAACTTTTGTCGCTCCATTTTGTAGGTACTGGTAAGCTCATCGAAGAGCTTGCCATTCATTTCCATGAAGGTTTTCAAGACATTATATACCAGAGCCACGATAGTTTGATTCCAGTGTTCCTTCGAAATACGATACAATGCTGGGAACATTATAGGCATCACCTAAAAAGGTTCATATAGTCTGAAACTATACCATGATGGACATCTTGACTCACCTGCGCACTTGTATCCTCAATTAGTGAAAGAATATACTCATTATTCCAGAAGTATAAAGCTCGTTCAGCAACCTAAAAAACAGCATCTTTGAACTTGTGCAAATCTTTCTTGTAAGTGACTAGAACCATACCTGGAAGTGTGGACTGCTGACACATTTCGCTAGCTGCCGGAATAGCGGGTCTATGATTTTCTTGAATTGCTCAGGTTCAATAATATCCAGTATTTCCTCGACTTCACCAAGGAACATGACTTCCTTAACAAAAGAATTGAAATTACGAAAAGTTGAATAAGTTGTAAATGACATACAGCTCGACAGCTAAAAGATCTCCCAAAAAATTTCACAACGAGAAAACATACCTTACTGCTACACGTCCTGGGCCAAAATTTCAGGAGGGCATCGAAAACTTGTGGCGTCAAGCTTGAATCTTTTTCAATGAATTGCACGACGCAATAGGCAAGCTGAAGCAAAGCATTTTAATCCTAGGAAAAGCATGACTAATTATGAGTCTCAAAGGAGAGTTTTCCTTGGCTAAGTACTTCTGCACCGTTTTCTTTCTGCAAAGCATTTCCCTCTATCAAGACTGGACACTATTTTCTTCAGCGACGGTGACCCGAAAAAAAGTTGCACTGATATAAGATCAGTAAGCTTGTTAGGATTATTGGGTTATGAAGCCCTTCCTCATATCAAACTCCTTGCTTGACCGAGTTAAACGAAACAGTAGCCACATTCTTCTTGAAAAATCACATAAAAATACAGAAGTGAGAAAGTAACCTGAGCATGGTAAAGTGATAAACACTTTGGCTTGTGTAGTGGCAGCAGAACTTTGACAAGGAACACCTTATGTTCCTGCTTCAACGGCAAGGCAAAACCATTGATAATGCTGAAAACATTCAAATTTGCAGTGAACTTCTGCGAGAGGCAAACCACGAAACAAATCGAATGGGTCTTGAAAGCTGTGTTCGTATATTACATGTACATTTCACTAACGATAAGCGAGCACTGTACCCAACCTTTTCCATCACAAGGACTTGGCCAAAATGAGCGAAAACATTAGGAAGAGGACGTCATGCGCATTTCTGTAGCCTTCAATTCGGAGAAAGAGAAAAGGTTAGTGGCAAGCGGCGCTACTTACCACGTGCGCGCCCGGGGATCAAATCCTGGGTCGTGAGTCGCCCGGGCCAACCAAGCCTTCCATCCCTCCGGGGTCGGTTAATTGGTACCAGACTTGTCTGGGAGGATAAAAACACTGACTTGTACATCGGCTGGCCCCCGCAAGTCATTGTATAGGCCACATCGCATTCAAACGCCACTACGAATGTACAAATGGAAGTAGAGCGTGCCGCATCCCAAAAGGGATTGATCAACGGCAAATGCTTTATGCCTTTCTCTTCACTTTGAAAAGTTCGGGTCCTTCCAGTAGCTTGAAAAGGAAATCTAGTGGTGTACAAGAGCTGACTATGGGTTCTCGTTAGAAATGCCGATGAGTACGACTACCAAAAAAACTGTAAACAGAGCCGAACTCATGTTTGCCGACATTTGCTTCACAGCAGGAAAAATTCCAAAAATGTAAGCAAGGCGCAGATGCAATCTTTATCATGGAAACCACTGATGACAGTGATGAAAACAACTTCTGCGTTTCATGAGCTTGCAGAAGCACGCACCCATAAAGGCGTTCGTACAGGGAGTGAATTGGTTCTGCTAAGCGGGCACCTTTGATGCATTTTTCTCGTACATAATACGTTGCAACAAGCGGCATCATAATGAGGAATGTGGAAAGGCTCAATTGATAGCTTCAACGATTCAAACTAGAGAAAAGAAAATGAATACCAAACGGGAGTTGACGATGACAAAAACTTCAAGATAAGGAATTAGAAATATTACTACAAAAAAACCCTTTGGAAGTCGGCAATGTGTTTTTCACCTTTAAAGTTAAGTAACGATTACCTTCCGAGGATTTCCAATAGTTCTCCAACTCCGTTAAATGAGTCAGTCTCGTAAACGAAACTAAAATATCGAAATCAACGAAACAAGAAAACGTAAACATTAATCATCATGTCTCAAGTAACTTGGTGATAAGCAAAATTAAAAAAAAAGAAACTAACGATAAGAACATGTTGTTGATCTGCTTACGAATGAAAGCCCGGAGTCCCAGAAACTTTCCATAAATACGATGCAGGACCGTCTTTAGAAAGTCACGTTCTCGCGGATCCTCAGAATCAAATAGATCAAGAAGCTGAAAAAGTGAATGCATTACAGCTAAGAACAAGATCCAAAATTGCGCTTAAGTATTTCCAAATAAAGTTTTAAAATAGAAGCTCACATTCAGTACGAAGCGCTGGTCAATGTACTTCTTCCCAATTGACGCTTGGAAATCTGGCGACTCCAGAAAACGTAAGAACAACTCATACACAAGCTAAAATGAATGACTTAGCAGTCATAAAGTAAAAAAAATGAGTTTCTTTCATAGATGCAGATAAACCAGAAAGTAAACAAAGTCAATGGGAGCCGGTAGGCATGAGTTAGCAGAAATTCTTATGGTTACAAAACTGGTTGAAACCGTGCAGAATTTTACAGCCTCCAGATTCAAAATAAATAAACCGAACAATGACTATGTGTTGGAAAAAGGTTGATCCAAGAATAGAGTAGAACGGTGGAAACGTCAAAAGGTAATACAATTTTGCTGACAGCCGAGAAAAAGACCACCGGTCCATTTGCAGTTTGGAATTACGAGAGACAAACTAGAACACTTGTTGAGTGCCTGCCTGAACTAGAGAAAAATTGAGGCGCATTTCGAGTGCACGTGCTTATGGGTATGTTCTAAACGATTCGCACGTGTGTCCACCAATGTTCTGAATGCTTACCTGTAAGTGTGGCCAAGACACTTCTAGAGTTGGTTCATCTTCCTCGGGATCGAATTCAGAGTTATCCGATGGTGGTAATACACGGAATATATTTTTCGAAACCATTTTGATTACCTTGAATAACTCAACTACATGTACGAGCACACTTGAAAACGATTACTTGTACACCCTTATAAAACAAACCTCAGGGTAAATCGACTCCACTATTGCTCCTTTTGTAGTTGTTATATGATCGATCAGTTCGTTTAATGCCGCACGTTTAATCTGAATCATAGGTGTTCAGGTTATTGCAATTGATTTCAGGTAACTTCTTAGGGTAAGGAGTAGGGAAACAATTTAACACCGCTATGAAAAAAGGAGATGAATGTAAGAGTCTTCTGTGAACCTTTCAATCAGAATAATCAATTTCAAGGAGCCATGAACGAACATCAAATGTTGGTGTTGTGAGTTAAGAAAGTTAAGAAAATTATGCTGACCTCTTTACTCTTGAGCTGCGCCACTGGATCATAAAAGTCGAAGATTTTTTGACATTGAGCCAACTTTTGAAGAACAAGAGCGGGCTGATCATTGGCTGGCGTATCTGAAATAAAAATTAATTACAAGCAATTTTAACGAAGAAGCAAAGTTATATAGGAATAGGAAAAAACTAGAAAACGGTAGCGGTACACGACTTCGAAGGTTCAGAAGGCTAGGAATGATTTCAGTTTAATATAAGTACCGATCCTGTCGATAATTACCCATCATATGGTGCGCTTTCATAGTCGAACGTTCGATCGTAACGATAGTGATGATCGCACAGCATCTGGCACATGTTGATCGCCCGATCCGATCGGTGGATCGATATGTATCCAATGCTGAGCGACCGTAACGATCGGACCCGGCTCCCCTAATTTATTCACGATTTGGAGCGCGGACGAGTTGGTAGTACCCGCTAGCTGAGCGAGTAGGTTTGAAAACACTCCATCCGCACAGTTTGCGGGCACTGTCAATTCGTCCGCGCCCCAAATCGTGAAGAAAGTGGGGGAGCCATCGGATCCAACCATGAAAGCGCTCACAGCTCAAAATGCATCTGAGGAATGATAAGCATTAAAAAAAATATCGATCAAAATCGAACCTTTGATTAGTGGGAGTTGAACCAATTCAGGCTCATTTTCGGCGTGATACCGACTGCTATTAACAATCCTCCTGCAATAAAATTTTGAAGAACTACAAGTGAACTAACATGCAACGGTGGGTACGCCTACAACGTAACAAACCTTCTTCTGCTAGTCCCACGTTTGCTGAATGGATCAATTTTATCCACAAATTGGTTAGCAGTCGCCGAAAGCGGTTGACCACCAGTTGCAGCTCCCTGAAAATGGAAATCTAGAATGACTTCAGTCAACCGGGTATGTTGGTTCTCGTCCAGTAAGAGGAGGGGAATGCCGTGCGGGAGTTACTGCCACTAAATCCCAGTTTTTGCAGATGGAGGAAACCCCGAGATGCGTGAACTACCTCGCCTTCGCTTTCTCACCCATCTCGGAGATTCCCTCTGCTGCAAAAAATCGGATTAGTTTGAGCGATGTGAAGTGTCGCACCACAAAACCCTAGACCTGTTATGTTTCTTTATTTGAAAAGAAAAATTTATGAGGGAACTATAAATGGGTAAATGCCTCGACCCACATAAGCACTTTCCGACCATGGAAAGAAGATTTTCGAATTTACGTGAATTTTGCAAGGTTTATGAACTATATTTTGCGACGTGCAACCCTAAAAAACAAGCACGTGTTGGACTACTTTCGGCAGGTGCCATTATTAAACCTTGAGATGATGACCATCATAATTTAATCAAATCAACGGCCTAAAAACGCCGATAAAGACCAGAAATAATAAAATACTAATCAGGGAACTGCTGGCTGCAACGTATACGCGGGTGCATCGAGGACAGAAACAACCGACTTTTCGCTCCTCGCAGTGCGAAGTTTTCTCGCTGCGAGAACCTTCGAACCACTCATGATCATGTGTGAACCTAGCAAACCATGCAATCACAACGTGATTGCTGTGATACCTGGTGATGATACCGGCAAGAGGGGTTAACATATCCAAATGACCTCTTTCTTGCTTCCCAAGGTCGAAAATAAACATGCAAAGAAGAGGGGTTCCGTTTTGCTGACGGATTTCTCTGCTACTGGTACTCTATTTGACATCCCAAATCCTTTCTGAACTCGTCCAGATCACGCTGCGATAGCTCCTTGATGCAATACGTACTCGGTACACAAGGTATTTGACGCAGAAAATCGCATATATACAAACTTAGTTTCGGTATTTGTGCGTGCTTTACATGAAATACTTATTCGGAAACAGTTTTAAGAACTAGCATTAAGATAGATGCCGCAATAAGTAATCATGGGACAAAAGATTCATAACGCCCTAAATAAATTCATACAAAATATGAATGCGTTGGAAGTGGCATACCTGTGTTCTTGGTCCGGGGACCTGGTGAGGCGTACCTCCCATAAGACTATGGTGACCACTTCCGGCCGACATCAGCAAAGGTTGGGCGCAGGAGTCCACGAATGAAGGGTACTACTAAGTACTTCAAGAGATGCCGCGACGACACAACTTGGCGTCTCTACACCCTCTGAGAAAAAATCCGCATCTACGCACGCAATATGGAATAAATCGTCAAGATTTATGCTACGAAGAGAGTATGTCATCTGGCTTTATACTCGATTTCTGAGAGTTGGAGTAGGCGTGTCACCGGAAGACGTGCACTTGATAGAAGCTATGTGGATAAGCTGCTTCCAACATACATCGCTGGATATCAGCAAAGCATGCTGGCAACAGCTTATCCACGCAACTTCTATCAAGTGCACGTCACTTCCGGTGACACGCCTACCCCAACTTTCGGATATCGACTGTATGTGTACGTTAACGTGAAATAGATGAAGGGAAATTTATCGATACAGCTGTATAATGAACATCTAAAAATAGTACAATGGAACAAGTGAATGATGACTAATGAAGATTACTTGAGGAGACAAAAGTGACAGCAGAGCTAATGGACTTAAGGTTTACGAGAAGTGTAGAAAATGTTGCAAAGATTTTCGAGGCGAACAAATTCGTAAGGATTCAGTGGTCATAAGCTTCATCAATACACCGAAATTCCTCTCTGAGAGAGTTGCGTAGCGCTCCAACTATGAAGCAAAAACTATAGCCCTCTGAAGTGGTGGCCAGCACTTGATAAAAACGAACAAATATCGATTTTTACAATGCGCATCGCGTATTAACTCCATGAGATCACTGGTGGCACATCGTGAGGTTCAAGAATTCAATAATGAAAGAAGTTCTTTTTTTGAGCTAAAGTTTGGAGAAGCACATTGATCTAATGTAAAAGCTGTGTTGAAACGAAGATCTTCTTAAGGAGATCCAAGTGGTATGCCGAAAAATATGAGGAAGCGTGCCCTCCACGCTGTAAAACGATTTACAACGAAGCTGGAAACACCAGCTGCAAAGGCAAATGTTAAGAGATTATCCATGGAAAAGATTCCTTTGTACTAGGATAGAATTAAAAATACTGGACCCCATCATGTTCCATTAGAAAAGAGACGAAAGATACATGAGAACTGTTGTTCCAGACACTCAGTAGCAATGCACGCTGCTTACGCCTAGCAGGTGATTTCTTAATATAGAATGGAGACGAACGAGTGTGTGTAAAAAGAAAGAAACGACAAAACCAGGAAACACATGAACGACAGCGACTTCACGCGAAAAAACCACTTGCAAAAGGGCTTGAGAACTTCGGCTACTTGCCTGCTCGCAACGTTAGATAATATCTAGGAGAGTCAGCAAAGTTATTTCTTGCAGTAATTGACTGGACAAACCATTGCACTTGCGTCTCGACTTCGCCGCATAGCTCTGCCCAATCTAATTAGTATATCGTGCCCACTTTGCGTCTTTTACTGCGTCTCTAGCCGTCTGCTTCTCTAAATCACTCGGCTGCCATGCTCTCTCCGCGCATATTTCTCAACTGTTCCCTGCCACCGACAGCTGTTCACGATCACTTGCAGCAGCGTTTTGTGCGTGTGCTCTAGCTGGTGCAGTTGTCCGAACTCTCCGTAGAAAGCGTCATGTCTAGTTAGGCTGCTCTACCGCAGCCGCGCAAGCTAGCCACCGCGTTGCAGAGAAGTAACAGTTGTCCGCAGTAAGCTCTGCGTCGTCCACGCGTCGCCATTGGGACACGAAACTCGTCAGCCATAAGGGTTTCGAAGTTCTTTTATGAGCACGTTTTCAAACATGTATGCTCGATGCTTACTCTAATTTTATTGCCTGTGTCCATATTATTATTATTATCATGTCAAACAGTTCACTCGCGTGATTTCTCTGAAATATTGGTGGGCGGTTTTTTCCACTGTTGTTCTTCTGTTTGGATCACATCCGACAAGTACTTTTTACTAACACAGCTAGATAGGGTTCTGGTTATCGTTTTCACCCAACTCTGTGCTATTCTGTTGCTGTTCATGTCTGGTGTCGTTTGTTGAGAGAAAATTGCTGATCAAAACAAACCAAATGCATCAAGGGGGGCAAAGACTTCCTCGAAATTCTTGAGCTTAGCCTCGTGTGTGAATCTGGTTAAGGGTTATTTATTCTGTCAAACAAGATATAAAGACGCGATCCTCAGTTTTACCAGTGAAGGCCGGTGTCAGAGTTTGCGAGTCGAGCGGTTCGCTAGTGTCCACGGTTGCGTTGCGGTACCAGCCAATATAGCGTTTCGTTGGCCGCGACGCGTCCGCGGACGCAAGCGAATCGCTGGATTTGTAAAGTCTGACATCGGTCGAATATGGAACGAGCCGCGGCCAATGCGGCCCCCCGGGGGGGGGGGGGGAGGCAGGCAGTTTGTAAGAAGGCCACCAGGACTAAGCCTAACGAAGAGGGACGAATTTTGGAGAGAATGAGAATTGCTTACGAATTCCTGATTCCCTTTCTCCTCCAAAGCTTAGTCCTAAAACTGAGCGTTTCCGTGAATTGACGCAATGGTACGGGCTGCCCCCTCCCCGGTTGACGGACTACTTGAACCCGGTCCTTTAAGCCGCCTCAGATCCATCTCTCGTCTGCGCTCTCTCACCTTATCAGCGGCTCATGACCATTGTGATCTCACACATTCAAACTTTTGCCACACTGTAGTTGGCTCACCCACCTCGGAGTCCCTCCCTCCTACAAGGCTTAGTCCTAGGGCTCTCACCTCCTTCCTTGGGATTTGGAGCCGAGCCAGGCGCCGTTCTCTAATCGTCTGTGCTCTCCGCCATTCGTGGCAGGACCATGGAAGAAAGTTCAAGTAGTCCGTAAACCCCCTCCCCTAAGCCACTTGTGCCCAAGCCGCTATTCGCATTTCAAGGCGCATTCATTGTCGGTTGTCCGATCATAACGGTCGCACAGCGTTAGATACGTATCGATCGTCTAATCCTCGGACACGTCCGATGATCGTATGCTTCCAATGCTGCGCGATCGTTACGATCGGACGACCGACCATGAATGCGCCCTCAGAACGGTTTATAGTTAAATTAGAGATGACACGTACTTTTTAGTAAGCCATGACGACGGCTCATCGACCAACGTTTCATCCTGCCCGGGGAGGCACTGGTCGAACTGAGGGGGATCTATCGAAGTTGTCGCAGCAGTATTCGTCTAAAGACATGCCATCACATACCAAGTTGAAGTACAGGCAAACGGGCCAGGGTACTGAAGAAGAGTTGAGGAGAAGGGTGAGTATGCACACAAAATAGAATTCATCACCGCTTCAACTAAATATCACCGTTCCAGGATCTGCGTCGGGAACTGGAAGAAAAGGAGAAGATAGCCTCCCGAGAAAGGCGCAATCGTGAAGCAGCCTCTTCTAGTTCAAGCAGCAAGAGAGCAAGGATTGAAGAGTCATCTCACGCTGCTGTAGATGCCGATGAACCGCTTGATGAAGTATGTCACTTTTTTTCGAATTTTGATTTTTTGTTGTTAATGTAGAACCTTCGCCAGTTACTAATCAGTCTGGTTTGACCTTTGATTGATAATGACGAGGTTGTGGTAATTGCCATTCTGTTCACGTTAGCTTCACATTGTTCTTGCGGAACGCTCTGTCATTTTTGGCTCCCAGACAATACCTAACCATTTGGGCGCGGCCGCGGCGAACGCGGCGCCGAGTTGATGTTGCGCCGCTGAACTCCAGTCACAACGACGGGTTTGCGGGCATGCCTCGAGTGGCGTTTTCAATCGGTTTCGCGCACAATTCCGACTCGGCGAGTGTCGAAAAGCGCCTGCGCCCATATGTTAAGACGCATTGCTCCTGGGAGCCGTCATTTTTAACTTACAGGAGCAGTTAGTTAAAATCGATCCCACTGGTTCAACCTGGAAGAGTAGGGTATTCAGGAAATGCATAGAGCATCTTCCATATGGCCGATGTCAGAGTCTGCGATTGGAGCGATCGGTCAAATGCCAATCGCGCGACCATCGCGCGAATCGCGCGATGGTCGCGCGATTGGCATTTGACCGATCGCTCCAATCGCAGACTCTGACATCGGCCAATGAACAATATGAATCGACGAAGTTAACCCAGTCTTTGAGAGGTTGAAGACGTCTGCATCGGTTGCACGCTAGTATCATAAGCCAATTCGTCCTACCTAGTTGTACTTATTCCAAGAAAATTAACTCTCATTCATCAACCATCAATTCCACTCGCCTACGTAAAATACTAGCTTTTACAAATCAATCTGCATCATTCACCAGGTTCCATTCTCAGTGTTTTTTCATATGCTATTTTCCTTTGCCCTATTACCACGTGCATCAAATGTGAACATAATGAAAGAGCGTATGATTTGCAGCATGATTCTTCTGACGATGACTCTGATGAAGACGACACGGCTGCCCTCATGGCAGAGCTAGAAAGAATAAAAAAGGAGCGCGCAGACGAGAAAGCTGCACGAGAAGAAGAAGAAAAGAAAGCGAGAGGTATGTTATAAGACTTGCTAAACTACTACTTCGTTTGATTTCTGTAAACTGCTGCTTCAAAGCCGCAGTCGGCGTTGTGAGTGTTTCCTTAGAATGTCAAGTTACGAACTGCGAGTTCGATTCGCTTGTGGCGAAAGATTTGCTCCGAATCAGGATTTTTGTGAAATGCTTGACTTCTTTGAGGAGTAGGGAAGTTGCAAGGGTGGGTTCAACTAGGACAGAAAGCGGACTTTTTCGCGTTTCGCAGCGCGAAACATTTTCGCTGCGGGAACCTCGGGTCCACCCGCTGATCATCAGTGGACCCGAGGTTCCCCGCAACGAACAATGTTTCGCGCTGCGAAACGCGAAAAAGTCGCTTCTCTCCGTCCTTAGTGAAGCACACCCAAGTTGCGATGAGAACATCCGTGTTTTGGGGCCTTTCTTCATGCTCTCATAATGTATTCTCTCATTTCAACGGATAGAGGACACGTATTTATTTTACGCTTCCCAGGAAAAAATTCGCATGGATAATATTCTTGCGGGCAACCCACTGCTACACCCATCCGATTCTGTGGCGTCATCTGCTAATGGTGGAGAATTTAAAGTTAAGCGGCGATGGGACGACGACGTCGTATTCAAAAACTGTGCCAAAGGTGGGTGTTTTTCATCTTAGGTTCATTTTTCTGTTAGTTCACGTGTATGTGGAAAAAGTCTGTCATACGCAATTGCTGCGGTAAGGGTGCTTTGAGTGCGCGTTGTAGAGTGAGATTTGTGGTTTTCCTTATCTCTTCGCTATGTTACGTGTGACTTGTTTTCGACGAGCGGGAGAAAATGTAGGTTTTGGAACATTAGTGCTTTGAAATAACAAAGCTGAGCAAAAAACAAGCTGTTGGATGAGTCTGGAGAGAATCTCTTTTTTTTCTCTCTGTGAAGCCCTGAAGTTCTCTTTTTAACTACTTGTCGCAGTCATGTAATTGTTCACAGGTGAACTAGTGCTAAAAAGGTCGCAGTAATGCTCAGAAAATTTCAACTAGGTCCATATTGGCAACAAAGACCAAAGAAATGTTAGAAGCCATGAGCTGAATGACTGACTTATCATGTTTTATAACTTCGTTTTCAGGTATCGATGAACGCAAAAAGGAGGCTTCCTTCATAAACGATGCAATACGATCAGAATTTCACAAAAAGTTCATGGATAAATACATTAAATAGTAGCATCTATGTTGTTGTGGCGTTCGTTGTAATTTTTCGATACTCTGTTGTCTATACTTGGTCCTCGAATGAATGCTGATTTCACCGCTGTTCTCTTTTGGGAGTCGCTTGTTTCGGTCAAAAGTACTTTGCCTTCTCTTTACCATTTAATCTAGAATAGCATCGAGAGCGGATAACGTGCGTTGCAGTCATATCAGCTCAACATTTTCTTGTCACACAAGGCCGTTATTAGCCCGCTTCTCTTACTTCACTTTTGATTACTTCTTCTGAATTGTTGGTCCTGTTGTAGATGCGCTAGCAATGGAGGATGAGAAATCGACATCGACTGACGTCACTGAAAAAACCTCTAGTCTCGATCACGTGAAGATAAATGAGCGTGTTGTTGTTTGGCGGTTAGTGAACGGCGAAAAAAGAAGGGTAGGTTGCAAAGGGAGTCATGAAGAAGTATTGATTTCACCGCCATGGTTCAGGTATTAGCCACACTCTTGAAGAAAAGAAGCTTTGACTCGAACGCTAAGCCTAGCAATCCTGATGAAGAAAAAATAACTCAAGAGCCGGATTGTCCTGCGGGCGAGGTATGTCTCCATTACGAAATTGGAGAGGCATCGCACATTGTAGCGACCCTTCCAGAACAACTTAATTGAAATTTATTAACGTCGTGTGTGGGAAAGCAGTGTTGTTGCGTTTCCAAACCTCTAGCTTGGCGAAAAGCTCTCCTCAACTCTTACGGCCATCCTTAAGAGGTTAGGAAATGCTGCAACTACTATTGCACCATCTACCTGATCTGACATTCTACAGAAGCTACTTTTTAAAGTGTCTGGGTAACCTGGTCAACATGTATTATGGGAAGGTTGTGAGTATGTAAATATGTTTGTTATTTAATAAATGTCGAACAAGATGGGCAAGTACCGCTTTTTGTCCCCGGTTGCTTTACTGATGCCACTTTATGTCTGCTTACTAACATAATTATTTTAACGATGGCGCAAGTGTTGGATAACTCAGGCAGCAATAACGTGCACTTCGATGACAGGACGCGCTTGAACTCAATGGATCAGTAAAGAACAGTAAGTATATATGTGTTGGTATCATTCTTAATACGAAAATTTTTTCCATTTCGGTTAGATGGAATTTCTGGTCGAAGTTCCCTCCAGTGGCCGGACGCATAGTCGGTCGGACGACAGCAACGACTGCAAGTGTCGCACAGCATTGGATGCGTATCGATCGTCGGACTTGCCTGAGTATTCGACGATTAGATGCAGTTAGACAGTCAGACAGTTGCGACCGTTGCTGTCGGACGACCGACTATGCGTGCGCCCAGTCGTGCCATCTATCTCCCTGGGGTCGGATGATTGGTTCTAAATTGGTCTATCGAGATAAAAACACAGACTTATACATCGATTGGTTCACGCAGGTCTTCTATAGCTCAAACCGCATTCAAGTGCTGCTTCGATTCCTACAGGATGTGAATGAGCGGCGCATGATAAAAATAATTGATTAACGTTGTATGTTTTGTCGTTTTTTGAGTCTGCGCAATATAGCGGTATTAGGACTGGTCATGCTTTTCGATTGCAAGGGCAATTCCTACCTACTTAACCCTCGAATTGCAGTTCGAACTGCTGGGTATGATCCGAACTTTGTAGGATTGAAATCTGAACTACTCTATTCAGCAGATGTATTCGAAGCGGTGTGTAACTTTTCATTATTTTCAGGTTCATCGAATTGGCTCCAAAACACAACAATGGAGAAATAGGTACAGTAAGCTACTAATATTTAATATTTTATTGCGTTCGATTTGTTGAAAACCCAGATTTTTGAAGAGAATTTTATTTCGATGCATTTTTTTTGGCTTAGTGGTCGTAAAAACGATAAACCGCCTCTTCTGTGCTTTGTTATAAAGTAAACGTTAAGGAGGTAGTGATCTACGGTTAAGAAGAAAGCGACGAAGAGAGAATGACGAGGAGCTTTCAACACTGGAAGAAGTTGGAGCTAGAGCGGACCACCATAGAAAGGTTAATAGTTATTTTCTTTGTTTGGTTGGTGTCATTCGTAGTTTTCTTTCATTTTTCGACCTATTATCCATTGTTAATACGCCTCTTTAGACGCCTCCTGAGAAGAACATCGAAAAAATTGTATTCGGCAGTTATGAAATTCAGTGCTGGTATTATTCACCCTATCGCTTGAAGAACAAGGCTGTTGAGCGGCTCCTCATTTGTGAAAACTGTCTTTTGTATACAGAGGACAGGCAACGCTTTGCGTGCCATTTGGTAGCTTTCGAATGCTTTTTCTTATTCACTGCCTCACTTATATTGTATTCCTACTCGATGTTCACAATTTAGGCAAACGATTGTAAGCTTCGGAATCCTCCGGGAGAAGCGATATATGTGGAAGGTGATATCAAAGTTTACGAAGTATTCGGAGCTTTGGAAAAGGTAGTATATTCGAAAAGCTTTGCTCGTATTGTGCCCTAGGTAACGTTCTCAGACGCACATTCCGCCGTTGAAAGTTGTGGTTTTCCGTCAGAATATTAATCCAGTTGTAGTGATTGGTACACAGCAATGAAAGAAAGCAAAAAGCTACTAGAAATCCTCAAAATCATATTGCCTCTAGTCATATGGGCGGGTTTCGCGGAGCTTCACCCTGAAGGATTTCTACTTGACCTATTCTTCTGGATTGGCAAGATACTAAAAGCGGTGAGAGGTCAGGCCAACCAGCGGACTGTTGTAGAGGCAAAGCATTAAGCGCACCATGACCAGCGCGCAGTGTGATTTAATAGGTTCTCAACAGTTCTTGTTTTTTCTTCCTTCATCACTTCTGCTATTAAGAAAATATGTACCACTTACACACACCTCATCGATAACGGAATGTGCTTCTAACCGGCTACGTCGAGGAGTGTGCGAAGTTAGCTGATTTTTGACCTAAACTAGGTGGTATCATTTGGGAGAAGTATGGATTCACGGTTTTTCGAAACCGTCATTACCACGGTTAGGCCGATGTCAAACTCTGCGAATCCAGTGATTCGCTAAGAATCGCTCGATTCACATCGGCCTCTGGACTGAGAAGACCCAATCAATGCTTGTTTAGTCATGTGCGTGGATCCGCACAATCCGCTGTGTTGCCGGCAAAGAATTGGCGATTGGCAAATTGATTTTTGACCTGAGCTAACCTTTTTTGTTCGATAGTAGTGCTCTGTGTCTGAACACTGGTCTTGTTACATATTTTTTGCAAAGTAGCACAGAGTGTGCTGGGAGCGGGCTCGGTTTTGGCAAGAATTAGGATATTTCTGAATGAGGGATATGTATGTTTATGGATCTTTCTTTTTCAGTTTTACTGCCAGCGCCTTTGTCTATTAGCGAAGCTTTTTATTGATCACAAGACACTATGCTTTGATGTGGAAAATTTCATTTTTTATCTGCTGTGTGAGGTTAGTTCCCGTTTTAGTATATTTCACGCAGTTCTTCGATCTTAAGGAATCTCAAGAATACGCTGTTATAGGTAGACAGTGAAGGCACGCATATAGCAGCGATGTTTTCCAAGGAAATGTACTCTGCAAACAATTTAGCGTGTATTATGACTTTGCCTTGCTACCAGAGGAAAGGATATGGCAATTTGATGATTCAACTGAGTGAGTCTCTTTTGGTAAATGGTGTGCACATCGTATTCCTCAACCTAATTTTAGGTTACGAGATGTCGAAAAGAGCGAAATATCCAGGCACTCCTGAGCGTCCCTTCTCCGATTTGGGCGAAATATCGTACAAAAAATATTGGCTTTGGGTTCTTCTGGAATTTTTTGATTCGGCAGCTATGCGCAAGGTGGGTTTCTTCTCCATCACGTCTAATTTTTTCTAAATCACTTACTACTTGACTTACTATTGTGAGCTGTTCTAAACAGACAGTCTAAGGGACACTTCGTACTTAGGCGAGAGAAGAGATTGCGAGACGAAAGAACACAGGGGCATGCGAGACGCAGACGCCCATACACTCCTAACAGTATTGCTTCTTCTTGCGCCGTATCCAATCTTTCCCTAAGAGGGACGCGTCCCGCCTTTGATTCAATCCTAAGGTTGGGAAACAGGGTTGCGTCACGGGCCCCCAATGAACTTTCGATGTTGTAGCTATGCTCCCCTGGTGAAGCACGCCTTCCTTCTTGGGGTTGAGCTGCTCTAACGATAGGCGTTTGAGGTAGAAACGCAGAGGTAGGCGGGGCATATGATGTAACTCGCTCTCCCCAGCCTTAGGATTGGATCACCGGCGGGGACACGTCCCACTGGGGAGGTCTGGTTGCGGCCCTTGTGTGCCCTCGGGCGTTGTGGAGGAGACGGTGCGTAGTGATGAGAAAGATATTTCATCATTATATTCTGTCGGAAGCACGTAGAAGTTCTTTCAAACTTTTAGCAAACCGAGCAGTGTTGTAGTTTACAACGAAGAATGTTTTTTTTGTAAATTTTTTGAAGGGTTTATTTTCCAGGTTGAAGATGTCACTGTTGACGACCTTGAAGCTTTGGTTGGCATAAATAAAGACGACATCAAGGACGTTATGGAGCCTATTGGTTTACTTTCTCATCTTAAAGGTATTCAACAGCTACTCGTTGCAGTCGTTATTTCCTTGAATGTTCCTATTCAAAGCTTACATCGAGCATTTCCTAATCTTTTCATTCATAGGAGGGAACGTATATCGTACACAATCCGAAATTGGATCAGGAAAGTGGAGTTGAACGACCGAACCCACCAGTGAGGCGGTTGAATCCGAAATGCCTTGTTTGGAATGCAAAAACATTTGATAGACCCAAAAGGCGAAATTAGAGAAGAGCTTCCTTGTAATGTTTATGCTGCCCCTAGTTTTTCCTTTCAGTTCTCAAAGAAATCCTTCCTTTCGGCTTTGTAAAGAGTTGTTTGTTGTGAATTGATTTCTATGTCAATACCGGTAAACCAAGTTGTTACTTTTCGTAATCACATATTCCTTTGCTATATATTTGTAACCCATGATTTCTTGAACATCGGCTGGCCCCTGCAAGTCATTGTATAGGCCACGTCGCATTCAAGCGCCACTACGAATGTACAAATGGAAGTAGTAGAATGATCTCTTCTTACTCACTGTTTGTGTCCTACCTTTTCAGAAAGTGTTAGTCACATAAGATGCTGTTATGTTCATTGAAATCTCAAGTAAATGGTTATTTTCCGCTTTTGTAAGTCCTTTTGCCTTAGTTGCTTACTACCGTTATTGTGATTAGTCACAGTGGGCATGTAGAAGCAAGACAACACTTTTCAAGAATCGCTTAGGAAAAATAGATTCGGGTTCGAAGCTTATACTAGTTTTTTTTTACCGTGGTTTTTTACAAACTTTATGGAACCCACTGTGCGAATAGCTGGAGTGTCTTAGGTTTTTACCCCTTTCCTCTGTTTTTAGTTTATATAACACTAGTGCTATCAAGTCAGCTTTTGTAGGAGCCTTACCCTCCTTTCCTCTGCTACTCTCTAGCTTCTCTTCAGTTTTTTTTTTCGTGAAAGTGTTGGAAATAGTTTTTGGTTGAACAGGAGTAAAACGAACCCGAACAGAATGCTTTTGAAAGTTTGAGGGGCCATCGCTGACCCGTGCCTATCTCACCTGGCTTCACGTTGTTCTGTGCTATCAGCAACCGAAACAGATAGCGATGTTTTGTTTCATCAATGCGCAGGTGCCACGGGAATCGCTCTTTGCTCTGTGCATGTAACTGGAAACCGTCAGTGTTCCACAGTCATCAGGAATGAAGGTGGTGGTGTTTGCAGTGACTTTTCTCAGGTATTTTTTATTTTCACATGATTGCACTTTAAAAATTTCCTGACTGCTTCTGGTTTAATGTAGGTGTAGACTTAGCACCTGCTTTTCAGTTATGGTCTGTACCACTCAGCTAGAAAAACTTTGAGTGGAGTGAAAACATCGGTCACGAGTGACTGGCTGGACAACGTCACTCATGTAGTTAGTCGCTTTTTTGTTTCGGATCTCTGTGAAGGAGGGTGATGCATCCTCTTAAAAAAAATGGTAACCCGGTGTCTGATAAGCTTTCAGAAGGCTGATAAAAGTATGCAGAAGCCACAACTGAGCTTTCTAACCAAGTGCTTTGTTTCTATGACGTTTACTATTTTTTTGGTTTTTTTTTTAGTTTCATTAACTGTCATAGAGCTTCTGTACATAAAATATACTGATTTGCCTCCTTATGTTATTAGTAGCTCGGCGAATTACAACAACATGTCCTTTTACTTGTCTCGATTTTTTCTCCATTATACTGCACGACTATTGGTTATCAGTGCTGAACTTTATAGCCTCGAACTCATTATAAGTGTTGGTAGTGTGAGCTTATCACACGGTTAAAGCACGTAGTTCGCAGGAAAGAAACGTGAGGAAGAATAATTACCAAAGGGATATGAAAAATAAATGGTTTATGCCACTCATGCAGTGGTCGGAGCGGTTTAGAAAGGGTCAGGAAAATAGGATGGCGAGTAAAGAGAAGGGTATCGTGTTAACGTGAAAGCACATCTATGAAATAAGCATTCTAGCAAAATATCATATGTGGGCAATGGAGAAGTCTCATTTCGCTTTTTTCAATGCGGTAGTGAAAGAAGTGGTGAAAAAAGGACGAATCGTGTCTTTTGGAGATTACATGTCTCTCAAGACTTATCATTTATTTTTGAAGAGGTCGTCCTTCTATCGTTCTCCCGCTTTTTTTCTATTATTGTGAAGGATGAAGACTGAGACTAAACATGGTAGACTTGTGATTTTATTCATTCACCTTTTTAACAAAATAACCATTACTCACTTGGAAATGTGTTCATTTGTAGCCGCTGTTCAACACTGATGGCGAAGCGAAGACATTCTTGGGGACCCTCGATGCAGTATTCATGATTGCCTATGCGAGCGTATGTTCACCTTGGTCACAGACTTTCACCATGTGTTGTTAGCCAATGACAGGTGTTTTTCCCATGTTCAGGGACTATTTTTCTGGGGTTGGTTAGGAGATCGTCTGAACCCGAAGCATGTCATTGTAACGGGAATGATCGGATCAGCTGTCATGGTTTGATTTTATCTTACCTCATGCAAGAATCTGTCGCAGAAACTTTTTTT